GTCCTTCGATGCGGCCGACAAATACGTCCTTCCTTTTCCCCGAATCGAAGGACTGGTCTGATGGATCCTTCCCGGCCCAGCATATCCCATAATGCATTGCAGCCCAACCGGAGATTTTTTTAAGCTAGTAATGGCGGACGAAATGAGAGAAACAAATACGTTTTAAATAAAAATATGGTGATATAAAAATTAAAAAAATTTTTAGCGGTTGTAATTCTAATACTTTTATCATTTGAATAGACATGTTTTTAAATATTATTTTTGTCATAAAAAAGCTAAATAAAAATGCACCTACAGCGGGTCAATTAGTTCTTCAAATGTTACCTTTAAGTTAATTTTATTGTTTTGTGATAACAATAACACTAATATATTGATATTTTTCTAATTTTGATCCATTTTTGCTTTTGTTTATCGTCGTCATGGTTGCTAGGTGACATGACGTACGCCGGGGTGGAGGGGAGGTTAGACCGTCCAAATTCACAGACTCTTTTTTTCCGGTCATCCCGGTCTACCAACGACCCGGCCCGCCTCGACCGGGTAGTCTGGGTCCTACGGAGGACCTGGCCTGTCGTTTTGGACACGGCCTATATCTCTATGGCTGACAAAGCTCCTCCCTTACCTTTAAGACTGACAAAGCTCCTCCCCAATATTTAAGGCTGACAAAGCTCCTCCCTATTTCTAATGCTGACAAAGCTCCTCCCCCATCTCTATGGCTGACAAAGCTCCTCCCTTATCTTTAAGACTGACAAAGCTCCTCCCCAAATATTTAAGGCTGACAAAGCTCCTCCCTATTTCTAATGCTGACAAAGCTCCTCCCCCATCTCTATGGCTGACAAAGCTCCTCCCTTATCTTTAAGACTGACAAAGCTCCTCCCCAAATATTTAAGGCTGACAAAGCTCCTCCCTATTTCTAATGCTGACAAAGCTCCTCCCTATTTCTAATGCTGACAAAGCTCCTCCCTATTTCTAATGCTGACAAAGCTCCTCCCTCATCTTTAAGGTTGACAAAGAGCCTTCCTCAGCTTTAATACTAACAAAAAGCTCCTCCCCCATCTCTAAGACTGGCAAAGCTCCTCCCTTATGTCTAATGCTGACAAAGCTCCTCCCCTATCTTTAAGGTTGACAAAGATCCGTCTCCAGCTTTAATACTTACAAAGCTCCTCCCCCTATCTCTAACGCTGACAAAGCTCCTCCCTTATCTTTAAGGCTGACAAAGCTCCTCCTCTTATCTGTCTGGAACATAGACAGACCACCAGTGGTGAGCATAGTCTCACTAATAAGCTAACAGCTAAAAGCAGAACAATTTTTTTGTGGCTTTTTTAACTAACCTTGAAAACCATTAGCAGACCAGTTAGCTTCAGCTAAATTAAGGTTTTGCCGACTTTAAATCCACTAACAGCTAACTAACAGGTTAGATGTTGTTAGTAACTAACAATAACAGGTTTGTGTCAGTTCCACCAGTCTTCAGCTCAAAGGAGACAAAGACGTGTGACACAGGCTGAGTGACAGTCATCTTAGCGGTTAGCGATTAGCTGTTAGTGTTAGCTTTCGTTTAGCTATTTAGCATTAGCTTCAGAAGTTCTTTTACACGTATAGTGTTAGTGAAGCTACATTTTAGAGGATAATGAGTAGCTAAGCTAACTTTTTGGCTAGCTGTGACCACAACTGCAGAATAGTAAATCCAGAGCTTTGCTTTTCAGCTGAACTTTTTCTTCATCACGACCAACTAAAGCAACATCCTCATTACTGACTACTACTACTGCTGACTACTACTATACTTTAAGCCATTAAATTAGACGTTTTTAGCTTTTGTGTCAAAATTAGACAATATCTGCAAAGTTGAAAGAGTTTTAATCATTTTTGTCTTGGCTAATGTTTAGCTGTGGCAGCGATCTTGAACTGTCTTGTCTTTAAAGGTTAATCAGTTGTAGACGTACATCTAGGGACTCAAAGGAGATTGAAAGATTAAACTGACAGTGAGGCAAAAGTTTATAAAACAGCATTTAAATGAGCTGATGACTTAAACTTGTTTTAATTTTCTAATTTCGTAATTTTCTGTCCTGATCTCCTTCATGTATCTTACATGATGAAACACTATGAATATTTACAGATGTCTTCGTTTAAGTCAATTAAATAAATCAACAAGATAAACTGAAGTCATCACAAATGTATCGATGCATTTTAAAGGTATCGTCGTTGAATTAGATTAAGTGACTAAATCAAATTCCCCTGATCCTCTCAGGAAAATGAGTAATGACAGCAGTTTGAGTAAAACCAGAATAATTTCAAGAAACAGGATTCAGCTAAGATGGATAAATAAAGATAAATGATGAGGCGGGAGGAGGTGTTTCAGGGTCGTTACTGATGGATGATCAGCTGGGAGGTGTTTTATTTTGAAATCATTTAAAGGAGTGTAATCATCAGCTTATCTGTGGAGCGGCTGCAGGAGGAAACAAGAACCTGACAGAGCAGTGGTCCGCCAAAGATTAACGCTGAATAACGACGGCTGCAGACGCCGAGGCTTCGCTTGTATCAAACCAAAAAACAAAAACTACAGATTTCCCTCATCGTTTGCCATCTTCTTCGTTCAGCTTCAAACAGCGGCTAAACAGGAAGTTCAGGGTGAGAGAGAAAAAGCGTCTCCTCATCCTTTTTCGTCTCCTCTTGGAGGGATTTTCCCGAAGGATTCCTCTGTCCGCTCTCAGTCCCTGTGGTTGTTTCCCTGAGTGGAAATGGGTCACCTTGTTTTCTGTCAAACCAACGCCGGGGTAACAAAAGACTGTGTGTGTGTGTGTGTGTGTGTGTGTGTGTGTGTGTGTGTGTGTGTGTGTGATTACAGAGTGCAGACAGGTGAGAGAGAATAATCTGGAAGGAACTGAAAGACTGAAGA